CACACACACACACACACACACACACACACACACACACACACACACACATACATACATACATACATACTAACCAAATAAAGAAAAGTTAATTAAACATTTGTTTATAAAGAAGTGCTGTGTAGTCAATGTCATCACAATAAAAGATGTGGCTTCCTTAAAGCCACAATCCAAAAGCAACTGACCACAAATTAATTGTTAAAATACAGACACTATAAATGAGAAGTACAGCAGCCTGAGGCAGACCTTGAACAGTGCACCCCAAAACATCTCCGCAACTTTCATACTCTACATTATGAGAAGCCAGTTCGCTGATGGCAAACTGGGACCGGCCCCCAGATGCCAATCGGCCCCCCCAGCATGACTCACCGCTTCTCCATCAGGCTTTTGCATGGAGTGCTGCCATTAGACATCAGCTCCTCACTGCTGTCGGATGACTCTCCCTTGTGCTTGGAGATCCATTCTCGAAGCGGTCTGGAGCAGAGCACGTGCACATTTTAGTTCAGCTTCAACCCCCACCACCAAAAAAAAATACATTACTGCCCTGAGTATAACAAAAAGCAGGAGCAGTTTTCTGTGTTTGTTTACATGTATATATTCCATGATATTTGTGTTGCTTTATTTATATTCACCATTAATTATTTTATTGTGAATTAAGTGACATCACTGCCACACCCCACTTGCAGTAAAAATATGATGTCAGACTCCAGGCCAGATAAGACCTTGGTGGTGTTCTAAAAAGCTGGATTTCTCAGTTACCAAGGTTAAGTTACGTTAAAAATAATAATCGTCCAATAATAGGAATGCGTCTTACCTAAACTATTAGACAATCACGACTGCAAGCTTAAGTTAACCGAGAAATCCTGCTTCATAGAACACACACATTGTGAAAAGTTTAATTTTGTTATGAACAACAGAATAAGAAGGGAAAATAAAATTTGCACTGCATGCATATGGAAATGTTACCAGGCCAATAGATTGATGGTATAAAATCAGTATTTTCTACAACCAATATCCATCCATCCATTTTCCATAACTGCTTATCCAGTACAGAATCACGGTGAGCCTTAGCTTATTCCTCAGCAAAGAGGGTAGGAGGCATGGGGTGCAACACTAAAACACCAACAGGAATTGTTCTAATAAAACAAAAACAGCTGTCATCCCTTTAGCGTGCAGCAAGGTGGCAGCAGAAGCAGCCTTTCCAAAGCTCACCTCATAAACGGAATGGCCATGAAGAACTTGTTTGGGGCGAGTCCAAGCTTAGATTTTGGAGTCATGTCATTTCGATGACATGGGAGTTTATCCACAGAGAACCACTCGATGTTCTGCAACAAAGAACCACCGCGGCTGATTATTAGAAAGTGAAATTATCCGACAGACAGACACGTCTCATAGGAGCGCTGTAACAGAAGTACCCGGATTTCCTTCCTCGTTTTGGGGTTGAACTTCGTCTCCTTTGGAACTCCAGGTATGATGTATAACCGAGCCAGCTGGTCTGTAATTTTCTGCTCTATGTAAACATCCTTGCAGATGCGATCACGGATATCGAAGCCCGTCTCTTCCAGGACCTGAGGTGGGGTGGAGGGGATGGATGAAAACAGAGGCTTATTCAAAGAAATTGTCTCCATGTGCTGGCAGGCTGAGCTATGCTGACAGCTTCTCAAAGCCTCCTACCAGATCAACAGTACTTTACCATGTTATCCATTTAGGTAGCTTATTTCTTCACACTCACCTCTCGTACGGCACAGTCGTGTGGGGCTTCGTCTTCGTTCACTTTTCCCTTTGGAAAACCCCATCCAGACTTGGCAAGATAGCCTTGAACCAGCAGCGCCTAGATGGGTACAGAAATACCTCAAGTCTAACAGCTGAGAGCGAGGACAGATAACCAGAGACTATAGGACATTACTGTCCGGTAATACTCACATAGTCAAGCGTTTCATCAAGAATAATTGCACCATATGTGGGAACACCCATTTTGTACTCCTTCCATTGCTCCAACACTTTCTGAACATCCTCTCCATGCGGCAACAGAAAGGGACAATGGTTAAAAAGTTACACTGTTAAGGACTTTAAAGGGTGCAAAATAAATAATTAAAAAAAGATACTGTGCAATGGGACACCCCCAAAATTATAAAAGCTACAGTAAAACATGCTATGATGTTACCCAGAAGTTTCAGTAGACATCTGAAACAATTTCTCTCTTTTGAAATATAAGCAGTTACATGAACAGCAATTCAACACTCAGCTAACCAAGCTTTAAATTCAAATCCCACAGAAACACAAGTTTCTAATCCTGAAAATTACAGGAAAAAAACTGCAATAGACTGTCAGCAACCAAAGGAAGGTATTAAACATCACTGAAGAGAACATCTGAAAACCAAGAGAAGCATAAATGCAATATGGCATACCAAAGGGCTTCTTTACAGAAGGGTCTAGGGCAGGGGTGGGCAACCTGATCTGTGTGGGTGCAGGTTTTTGGGATGACCTTCCAATCAGCCAATAATAGAGCAGTGGTTCTCAACTGGGAACCCACTGTTATTGGTCGATCGAGAGGCCATCCCAAAAACCTGCACCCACACCAGCCCCCCATGGAAATGATTGCCTGATCTAGGGAATCTTCTAGAATCGAGATGATGACTTTCAAGTTATTCCTTAAATCAAGTCTGCTTGAATGACACTGAACACACCCAATAACACACTGACCAAAAGAGGACCAGCCCATAGGAAAACTAATGAAGAGGGACACTGTGCAGTTAATAGTATCAAATGCATCCTCAGAAACAGCTGCCCTGGAGAACGCCCCATTAAGATGGGACAGACTTCCCCAGCAGTGACAGCGAGTCCATAACCACAGAGCAGAGGCAAGCACTGCATCTGCATGGTTTGACTCAGGGCACAGCAGAAAATAGAGCCACGAGACCCAGTCTTTACTGGAAACAATCGCTTGGCACCAAAGCGGACACTAATGCAGACAGGAACTACGCACATTATCCAACATTTCAGGTGATCATATCAGCCATTCAGTATGCCATTCACCACAAATTATGTTCACTTTTAACTCCTCTATCTTCCCTTTACAACCTATACAAAATGACTGATTGTGACTTCCCCTTCCCGCATAAGACACATTGAGTTCTCCAAAATACCGGACAAAACCCAACAAAAACAACTATATCAATACTCAACAGAAATAACAACGGAGACGCCACAACAGCGATACAAAAAGGATATCAGCTTTGGCAAAGTCTCTTATCCCACACTGAGGTAATCCTGGTGTGTTCTGCAAGCAGAAGTCCAAGTAGAACCAGTGGGCAAGTTCAATCTGGAAGCAAACCCTAATGGCATTGTCCCTTTCTTCACTGGGAATGTGGAGGATGAATCGGCTGGAAAAATCAGAAAGATAGCAACACAGAATTAGCATTTAGGAGTGTCAAAATCTAGACCCACACTTTCTTGATTCATTGTGCAAAAAAACGCAGGGATTTAGTTATCGGCATAGAGAAAAAATATTTCAAGAACTCAACACAAGGAAACTTCCAGCAACATGTACCTCACAGCAATTCATAATAAGACGTTTATTATGATAATTTCAGCAACGGACATTTGTCCCAAATTACATACGTGGTTGAATTCAAGAAATTGCTGCTGATCTGCCACACTTAAGTGCCAATCGCTCGGCGGCTGGCTGACCGCCCAAGCCATCGACAGGTATATTACGCTGGATCAGTAACTAAAAATTTAGCTACCGATCCCAAATACCAGGCGTATAATGTCAAAACAATCTTCAGAACAAGGCGCCGCCGCGGATACCACTCACGGAAGATGCATAAACTAGCGTATTTTCATTTAGGTCAGCACCACGCAGGGGGTAAATATATGATAAAGTCATCAGCGAGTATTTAGCTACCTGCAGAGGTCGTCCAAAACGCTGTTGGGAATCTCCCCTCGTCTCGTCTCCATGATGAGAACAAAAACATCACGAACTCGCGGAGCTGTTACCAGGAGAAAGCAAACGACGTGGAGCGAAGTTCACAGACCTCGCAGCAATAGAGACCGCAGGGAAAAAACATTTGATTAATCAAATAAATATCGGCAAACGACTGGCCAGGATGCAAACAAAACCAACTCCTGCGACACACTACCGTACTGGTCCTGTTAAACTCGAGGGAATTTACGTAATCGATCTCCAACCAATCATATGACCAGACGCCAATAAAATATGGCGGCACCTACCATGACGCAGTTGACCGGCAGGTCATTTAGCCGGGAAAACTGCGCGAACAACGTCCCTCGGATAAAGTTTGGTTGAGATAACAAGGAAACGGAGGGCGCTTTATTACTAGCCCCGTGATAACATGAGGATGGAGATACTTCTTATTGTGTAGTATCTCACAATTAGGATTAAAAGCGAAGACCGAGAGAACACGTCTTAAAAATGTAATATCGTTGATCGCGTGTATTCCTTTACGTTATGACTGCACGGTTAGGACGCTATATCAAAAAAATTGTGCGCCACATATAACATAGAAAAAGAGAATAACATATTTCAGATAGCGCCTGACAAGTAGTTGAAATGCTAGGTAAAGTATGCTAATGGTGAAATGTTTATAATTTTAAAAGTCGAATTTTAAAAGGTAAAAAAGGTGAAAAAGAATACAATCCGTTGATTTCTGATTTCCTTCAGCCCTTACTAATCGACAAACATATCGTTTAAATGATTGTTTTATCATTTAAATCATCTTTTACATTATTTATGAATAGGTCATTTAAACGATTATTATTATTTTTTTTTCCCTCCTCCACCCCCCCTCTGCGGGGGACTACTTTATCTGTATTTATTTATTTATTAATTAATTTTATTATTATTATTTTTTTAATATATATATTATTATTTATTTATTATTTTATTTTATATTTTTATTTACTTCCTCAAAAGAAGGAGAGGGAGGGGGGGGACAAAGGAGAAGGAGGGAAGAGAGAGAGAGGGAGAGAGAGGAATGGAAAGAAAACAAAAAAAACAAAAGAAAAAAACAAAACAGATGATCTGCTTCCATGTCTGTTGAAAAGAGAAAAACAACATATAACATCTGTACTAATCACA